TTCAAGTTTTATAGAAAAGTATACAGCTGATAATCTGACTCTATTTATATATTAGAACTTTTTTTATTTATTTTGAAGATTTTTTTAAATTTTAATGATCACATTAGACTATGAAAAAAAAAATGTTATTTAAGGTTACATTAATTTAAGGATTTAATTGAAAGTTTTCTTCAATAGCAGCTAAAATGGTGGTGCAAAGTGGGCTGTGCCCTCAATACAAGAGTAGAAAAAATTAGCCTACATAATAATCAAATAGCTTATTTATTTTATTTTACCTTATTTATAAACTTAAGATGGCTCCTCCACTTCAAATATAGTTCCTCTAATATAGTGAATAATACTTATATATGCACTGTAAGCAAATACTTAAATAGTTATTTTGTGTATAATTATGGAGCAAATTTTGACAATTCAACTTTTAATAAATGTGTTTTTATTTTTTTCAATTTTTATTTTATTGTATCAAGAGTATGTTTAGGCATGAGGGCAAGGAGATGGGTAAAATTTAAGGGCATATGAGAAAGTTATACATATGTGAAAACATTTGGGGTATAATCAAAAGCACAATATAAGTGAGAGAGTGTTTTTTATAAAAATTTCTTAAGTATGTTAGTTTAATCACAGGATATCACTTAATGCATTTACTTAGATACCCTGATTAGGTATAATAATATTGTATTAAAAAGATTTATCTTTTTAATACAATATTATAGTTAATTTTTACCAATTAAGATGGAATAAAACAAAAAATTAAGGGAAAATGTTAAAACATTCCATAAACTTTTTTAAATTTATATCACTTGTCACAAGGTGCTGTTTTATTCTTATTTTACTTTTGATTTGAGTAGATAACTTTGTATCTTTATTTCAAATTACAGCACATATCTTTTCTATTTCAGGTCAACAAGATATGACTAAGTTTGGATCAAAATACGGATCTGGCCCAGATACTGTTAAAAACAAAATCATTTACGAAATAGCATAAAAGATGCGAACCTTTTCCAAAGTTCAAACAACATTAAAACTTATTTTTTTAAAGTTAATTTAAAACAGTTAAAATTTATAAAATTTATACTTTGAAGTAATGTTTTTTCAACTAACTTTTCCCCTAAAGTTTCATTTATAAAACCTTTTAAGTAATTTCGTGGACCATGGCGATACCAGTGACACAAAAATACACACTTTTTTTCACCTCGGCATGTGTATTTATAAGAATTGTTATCTCGCGGTGAGCGCATTTTTTATTGTCGACTTTAAGGAGATCTAATAAAAAAAAAAGTTAAAGTCAACTTTTAATAAAAAAAAATTCCTCAAAAACATTAAGTCAACTTGACATTGAAAATTGATGAAAAGTTTTAAAATACTTAATTTCCAATTGAACAAGAAGCCATTTCATTCATTTTTGAAAAAAAAAATTTTAAATTGATAAAGTTATACTGATTTTTGAGGCGTCGACTATCCGCAGGTATTTTATTGCTGTCAACTCAAAGTTGATTTAGTGTTAAATATATATATATATATATATATATATATATATATATATATATATATATATATATATATATATATATATATATATATATATATATATATATATATATATATATATATATATATATATATATACAGAAAAGCTTAATTAGATCAGCACTTAAACACCATACTGAAGTAGAAAGAACCTGAGGGCTTCAGTACATACATCGACTGATATAGGTAGAATATGTGATATATGCTACTACATCAACTAAAAGTTTGGGTTTTGCGACAATAAATTTATTTCACTAATCTTAGTTTTTTTCTTTTTTTTGCTAAAAAAAAATATACGGATATAGGTAGGAAAAAAAGTCAGAAAAAGATATTTATTAGATTTTTATTTTATTTTTTGTAAACTTTACACTTGTACAAAAATACTTTATAGAAAAGATTATAATTCTTTGCATTATTCAAAGATTCTTTGCTACTAATGTTAATATGTCGAATAATAAAAGAAGTTTTAACAAGTCTAAGGTTTAACAAATAATAAAGTTTTAACAAGTCTGGTGGTCTAAGTGTAATTTTTCCTTTAATTTAGTTGGTGAAATTTAATCCTAATAGATAAGTTTGTATTTTATTCTATATTTCAGATAAGATATGAAGTTAAATTGTTAATGATTAATTTACTTAACACCCATTTTATGGTTGTCTCCTGCTACAAGTAATGGCAACATTTACTTAACTCCTTTTCCAAATTGGAAAAGAGCAGGAATAAGCAGCAACCAGGTCAGTGTAATATTTTCTATAAAAGTGATTTTTGTGTTTTAAGACACCTATAAAATAATACAGTTGTGTGACTTTCTGAAACACTTCGGAACGCTGGAATCTTGGGAGCTTTAGAATGCTGTGATTCCTGACTCTATTTAAACATTACAAAAACTGCTTACCAAAATGATACTCTTTTTCTGTACTGTAAATTCTTTTATTATCTGCATTCCAATAACAAGTCTGGTTAGTCTGGATCTCTCTGTACATAAAAACTATATTATATAAATAGAGATAAAGTTAATAAAAAAATGTAAACAAGTTACAAAAAAAAAAACTAACCATTAAAAATAAAAGTAACTACATAAAAAAATAATACAGTTTAGATATATTTACTTTGCATTTTTAACAATTTATCTCTTATGAAATTAGTAAAACAAAAATCCTTATAATTGTTAATATATCATTTTCAAGGATGTGAAGTTCCATAAAGAAATCTAGTTTTTAAACTCACAAAATCTCTACTTGGTTTTGATTTTTGGAGTCCATTAGATATAAAAATACAGAGGCGTTAAAATCTTGGAAACTATTTTTTAGCTCAGAGTTCCTGGCTACCATTTTACACAAGAACTTTGTGTTCAATATTGATAAGTTCCCATATTCTAAACATCCTAATTTTTTAGCCTAGAGTCAGGGTTATTCTAAACCTTTTTCAATAGAATTTGAACATAGAGTAATTCCATGTCAATTCATCCAAAAAATTTCAAAAATTAATTATCAATTTAAAAAATATATATTTATTTTTTATAATCTCTCAAATTATTGGTTAAATATGGAGTTATTCCATGTCAATTCATCCAATAAATTTCAAAAATGTCACCATATGTCTTAGAATTTTGCTGATTTTTATACAGTTGAGATTAATTAGTAAAATAAGAATTCCTTGAAAATTTTAGCTTCTGGCTTCAAGAAGATCCTGAAATATGATCATTTTACTTTTAACAGATCTTGGCCAGGCCTCTCTTGTCCTCTCAGAACTGTGGCTTGTTTAAAGGTTTGAAGTCACATGATTGTAAAAATATTTGATCTTTTTACTTAAAATTTTGTACCTGGCTATTTTCAGGGGTGAAGAATCCAATAAAATAATCAGAAATGTAAAAAAGTACCTGTAATTACCAATTTAAATAAATTTAGCCAATTTTTTATATACCTGATTTTGATGCTCAAGAAACACATGTGGCCTTGATGATATCAAAAAAAAAAATTACAAATCATTCAATATTTAATAAACTTTCAGAAAACATAAAAATTTTGATCTGCAAATATGTGGATTTCCATATATGAATAACAGGGCACGGGCCCCACTTTTTTGTAGCGGTATTTTGCAATACATTTTTCACTTCCTTTTAGACTAGCTGGAGCTCTGAAACTTTCGGCATTTTTGTAGTGCCAATAAACATGCATTTTAAAATTGTTTCTAGGGCCCAAGACACTGGGGAGGGGCCTGGGGCATGTGCCCCACTTTTTTGAGCAGAATCTTGAAATGGATTTTTCACTACTTTCCAGACAAGCTGGAGCTCGAAACTTTCAGCTTATGTGTAATCCTGATGAACATGCGTTAACTTTGTTTCCTGGGCAGACAACCAGATGGCCATGGGGTTGGGACAACGGGGGCATGCCCCAGTTATTTTCTCAAAAAAAAAAAATTTTAACAAAGTTAAAATACTTTTTAAGACTTTATTTTATTTATACTTATCTATTTTGTTTAATTAATTACAAAATAAAATACAAAAATATAGTATCAAGATTTTGTTAATATTTGCTTAGATGCATCAACAGTCAAAGTAAACAAACGCCCTGTTATTGTTACAGGTGCATCGATGCTACAAATTATGTTGGTAATTGGAACCCAACACTCATCTGTTCTAGATGGCCAGAAAAGTTTGTTAAAAGGACTGTGTGGGTGCATAAATGTTAACATAATACCTTGCTCAATATTGTCAATTTCATTTATCAAACCAATCCATTGAAACAAATCATAATTACACAGAATAAGTTTACCAAATTTCAATGTATTAATATTAATTTACTGATCAGGTTGAGATCTTTAAATACCAGGAAAAAAAAAATCCCTGTTATATTAACATCTTCATTTTTTGTTTAAAATTAATAGTATCTATAGAATCTGGGTTATATTGATGATAGCTCTTTGTTCCAGGAATTGTTCTACTTAGCTGAAATCGTGTTTTCAAAGTGGTGCGCAACTCTGTCAGTCTTTTTTTTTCAATCTTGAAAAAAAAATCCTATTAATATTGCTTGTACAGTAGTTCAACATTTTATTGCAATTCAATATCTGGTCATTTATGGGCCTTTGTAGACTTGCATATGCAGTTAATTTTTTTACAGTGCCACCAATACCATTACATGGTAACTTACCATGACTTGTAGCAAAAAACTTTCACTCTGCATCAATATCAAAATCGTCTTTATGGAGACGGATATTTAAAGATTTTTGTGGTTTTTATACTGTGCAGCACAACCGTCTGAAAAATAAAGAATCTTTGATTTTCACTTATTGCATTTTCACTTAGAATTTGACCACCTCATGTGCTCCAAATAGTGACTAGAGTTTAGCTCTAGTTGCGAACATTAATAAACATAATACTAAACCATATAAATAAATTAAATGTAAAACAAAAATTTCCAATAAACCAAGTTAAAAAAACTTAATTATATATAAGCTAACTGTAAAATGAGCAGCTGCACCACACTGTAAGCAGCTGCACCACACTGTAAGCAGCTGCACCACACTGTAAACAGCTGCACCACACTGTAAGCAGCTGCACCACACTGTAAGCAGCTGCACCACACTGTATAAACATAATTTAAGTATAAACAAAAACTAAAACAATATAATTTTAAATAATCGTATATAATTCAAATAAATATAAACTAAAAACAAAACGAATAACATCACTAAAACATATAACTGGAATAAAATAAATTTAAAATGAAATGAATATCTATAATATACCAGACTAATATGAATTAAATTTAAACTAAATGCTGAAATTATGAATATACTAAAATGTATATATTTATTTACGTATAAACTAAATATAAAACGAGTGACTTAAATAAACCTTATAAATTGAAGTGGAAACTAAATATGAAGGGTTTTACTAATGACAGCATAAATTAAACTAAGTTAAAAACTACATCATATATCTTTACCTAAATATACAAAGGTTTTTTATGATATAAATATAAAATGAAGAATTGCGTTAAACCATTGAAACTAAATGGAAATTAAACATAACACGAAATTAACCATAACACAAATATATTTATCTAACCATATCAATATTATCATTTTCAACATTATCAGTTGAACTAAGTAGAAACTAAATATAAAACAAATCATATTACCAATAACCATAGAAACTAATTTAAATTAAAAAGGATATTTGTACTAAAATATACAAAAGTTAACTATAATATAAATATAAAACAAAGAATCATATTGAACCATATGAAACTAAATGGAAATAAAAAATAACAAAAACAACTCTACTAAACTAGATAAATTAAATAAAAGAGTTAAAATTTTAATTAAAATTAAAAATAACTACCAAGATGGATATCCTATTTCCACTTTCTTCTCTTAATTACTTGTCTCAACACTAAACATCTGTTCATTAGAGTATAACTATTACACTAACCCTTTTTCTAATATAATCAATCACTTCTTTTCTTTCAAGCATTTACGACTAAATGTTCCACTAGTGACTAGACTTACTTGCTCTTATATAGAAAAATTTGAAGACAATGTTTTCAAAGTTATCTTAACTTTGTTAAAAAAAAATTTTTTTTTCTTGAGAAAATTTGTGGGGCATGGTCCCTGGTGTCCCAACCCCATGGCCCTCTGGTTGTCTGCCCTGGAAACAATTTTAACAAACGTTCATCAGGACTACACAAATGCTGAAAGTTTCAGAGCTCCAGCTTGTCTGGAAAGTAGTGAAAAATCCATCTCAAGATTCTGCTCAAAAAAGTGGGGCACATGCCCCAGGCTCCTCCTCTAGTATCTTGGGCCCTAGAAACAATTTTAAAACGCATGTTTATTGGCACTACAAAAATGCCGAAAGTTTCAGAGCTCCACCTAGTCTGAAAGGTAGTGATTTATTGTAAGATACCACTACAAAAAAGTAGGGCCCATACCCTGTTATCCATATATGGAAATCCACATACTTGCAGATCAAATTTTTTATGTTTTCTGAAAGTTTATTAAATATAGAATGATTTGTAATTTTTTTTTTTTTTTGATATCATCAAGGCCACATGGGTTTCTTGAGCATCAAAATCAGGTACATAAAAAATTGGCTAAATTTATTTAAATTGATCATTACAGGTAATTATCAAATTGATAATTACTTATTAATAATTTTTTATATTTCTGATTATTTTATTGGATTCTTCACCCCTTAAAATAGCCAGGTACAAAATTATAAGTAAAAAGATCAAATATTTTTACAACTATGTGACTTCGAACCTTTAAACGAGTCACAATTCTGAGAGGACAAGAGGAGCCTGGCCATGATCTGTTAAAAATAAAATGATCATATTTCAGGATCTTTTTGGAGCCAGAAGCTAAAATTTTCAAGGAATTCTTATTTTACTAAGTACTCTTAACTGTATAAAAATCAGCAAAATCTAAGACATATGGTGACATGGCCTGGATGAATTGACATGGAATTACTCCATATTTAACCATTAATTTGAGCGATTATAAAAAATAAATATATATTTTTTAAATTGATAATTAATTTCTAAAATGTAATAGTTCATAAAAATATCATGAAATTGCAATAATATCATAAAAAAGTATAAATCCGTCATTGTTAAACAATTTTGAAATCAACAGTTTATTTTATCTACTTCAGAGAAAATAAAATCCCTCACACGTTTGAATCACCAAAATTATACTTAGGTTACTAAGGATGAAAGTTGTTTTTGTTCATTTTTAAAATAGCACTAACATTTCTTTAGAAATTTATTTTGATTTAATAATTTTATTTATTTTGTATTGCCACGTTTGATTAGTTGCTTTAAAACAAAACTACTTGACAATGTCAACAATTGGCTATTGAATATTTATTTTATCTATATAATAAGTCACATGGTTTGTTTTGAAGTTTTTAAATAGTTAAAGCATTTTTAAAATAATTTAAACACATAAAAAAAAAAAAAAAGATACTAAAAGGT